TAGCTTTCAGCAGTTAGCTTTCAGTAGATTCTCCCCCTGACAATCACTGAGAAAACAGAAATTAGTACAATGAGAATCACTGCTGCCCAGCTCTCTTCCATGCACTTTCTCATAATGCTCCTTGCTTGTTCTAGACCAGCTTTGACAGTGTATCGGTGGCACCTCTGATCAAAGGACAATTGTCATTTCTTCCATTTTTAAAAAAATCTGACTATCAATAACTATTTTTAGGATGTGGCTGCACTGAAGCAGACCTGTGGGTTTGCTGCAGATGCTACCTATTTCTCAGTTTCTAAGTTTGCTTCTCGTTTAGATTCCACAATTACAAGATGACTGAAAATACAACAGTCACACAATAGATATGATTTTAGCTGTAGCTTTTCTGAAATGCAAATGAACTACGTAAGAAAACACCCCAAAACTTAACAAATCCTGTAAATTTTTTAAGCCTAGAATCTAATATTCTTCCTGTTGTGGAAAAGGAAAAGAAAATCTCAACCCTGTACCTGCTATCAGCTATGAACATAGCTATGGTCCAGCAACCCAAAGGATTTAAAGCATAAGATCTAGCCCAGACTGAAACCTTCTGCTATTTGGAATAATCAACTCTCAGCATGACATGAATATTCAGAACAATTGGTTTAAGTCATTTAACAGTCATGTTTACAGCCAGGTATGCACTACTTCAGTCACATCACTGATTCTCAGTCCAACAGCAGCTGTACAGGACTTCTCAACTATAATTTTCCTTAAGAGAAACTCAGTTTTAAAATTCAACACCAACAAAAGATATTTCACTCAGAAATACTCAATTTGTACAATTTCATAATTAATTTCTGCCTACACAGTTTGAAAACCTAGCCCAGAGCAGCCAACTGCTTTGCTCCAGAAATTAAAGACAGAAAGGAGAAGGATTTGATATTGCAGAAGTGCTTATGGAATTGTATGTTTTTAGAACAGCACAGAGCCACTTGAACTACATTGTTTTGTCTAGGCAATTTCTGATTAAAGGAAAAACAGTCCTTTCCAGCAGTATTTATGTTGACTTTCCTGGTTCATTTGTATTGTTTTGACATTTGCAACTATGACGATTTGAAAAATGGTCTGAGCAGTCATGCATTTGCCAAATTCAAATATTAGTCTGTCCTTTCATTTTAATATGTTGTAGTAGTTTGATTTCTACTGTTCCTGTGGTAATCCATTATGTGTAATGCATTAAGTGTACAATATCTACAATTTTCTAATGTACTTTTAGCATGAAATTCAGATCTGTCTTTGCCATCATCACTACAATAGTTATTATTATACCAACATTATTATCACCACAGTACACAGGTCAACGTTAACTTGACTTTATTCCTTGTTCTGCAGAGATGTGGGACATATTATATATGTACAAGTCTGCCTATTTACCTAACAGCCCAGAGGCCATGCCTCTTTGTCCTCTCCAGGCATCAAGCTGACCAGAGCTCAAGAAATGTTTAGACAATGCTCTCAGACACACTGGGGCTGTTCTGTGCAGGTCCAGGAGTTGGACTCTTCGATCCTTGTGGATCCCTTCCAACTCAGCACATTCTACAATTCTACAGTTCTATGCTATTTGTATTGTTACTGTGATAAAACTGAATGTTGTTTTAAATTTGACATGCTTTGGAAACTAAGAAGCCCAAGACACCTATTAGGCATTTATATTCAAATATGTAGGAGTTGATACACAGTGCTCTCAAATTAACACACGATAGAACAGTTGCATTATTTTCTAGAGACAGTAAGAAGATACAGTCGGTCAAATTACTAAAGGAAAAAATTACAGCTCTGTTACAGCAGAAAATGAGAGTAACATAAGAATTTACAAGTACATATCCTAGCTCAAAATATTGTGCATTTATCTCTATCAGAATTCTATGCCTTTCCCCTGAATCTCTCCTCGTTTCTGCCTCCTTCTGCCAGGGAAGGTAACTGAGAAGTCGATGCCAAACTTTTTTTGTTTAGGGATCTATGTTTTGCAGCTTTTTCCCAAAATTTACATGCTGCCTCCTAGCAGAGCTGGGCCAGCTGCTATCTCAGGTCATTAGGACACCTATATGGTATGCTACAGACATTCTTTGAATAGAAATGGCAACGATATTCTATGATGCTATACTGCTCTTGCTGGAAGGGTAATAGCAAAAAATGAGGGCGTGCCGTGTACAAGGAAGGCAGAAGACTTCCATCATATTCAAAAACCAGAACGTTTTTTCCTTTCATACTTCAGGTCATTTAAGATAAAATAATGATCTTTTCTGGATGAAAACTGTTTTTGTTTTCTGTAACAAGAGTTTGATTTCTTTGGTTTCTGGTAAGTGATTCTTCCCTGCAGCTTACTGTAGACCTTATAAAGTCTTCACCAGCAATACGCTAATATAATTGCCTCATAGGAGGCTGTATTTTCAGCTCCACAGTGTGTTTTTGATACTTCAGCAAAACTTTTATTCTTTTTTATACCAGTTGCCAGGATGGTATGAACTTAGCATTTTCTTGTTTTCACACAGTACAGAAATTACCAATAAAATAAACACAGAATGGCTTCTTAATCTCATCAGTGCTAGGTTATTTTTCTGTGATGAAGTCTCTCAGATGCCACCGTGCTGTTAATTCAATGTTGCTGTTACCTGTGTTTACTCCTCCAGTGAAAATCCATGCTCCAGTTGTCATAGCAGCCTTAATAAGGCCTTTTCCAAAGACTTGCTTGAGTTTTGGCTGAAGTTCAAAATTCTGAAGGCCCCCATGCACAGAGATGAGAAGTTTGGGGAGCTCAAGTTGCCACTCTTTGGTCATCAGATGCAGAAGAAGGTCAGGCTTTGTGTCAAAAGACACACGTACATACTGCAGAAACAAGGGCAGTAGTAGAGAAAAAAAGACTGGTTATACTCACTGTTTTCTAATCCATATGATCTATGTCCAGTTGATCACTGAAAAAAGGCAACCTTTATGACTGAAACAGTAGCTAATTGCTAACTTAATGATTTTTAAAAAAATTAGGAAACTAGAAATAATGGAACACTTGCAATTCACAGATTGGATAATTTTCTTTATGTAGGAAACTAAGACATTAGCTTAGCAATGCTTGAAAGATTAATGTCTTTAATTTATAGATGCAAAACCAGGAGTAAAAATGTAAGTGGTCTGCCAAAGATCATTTAGGTAGTCAAGTCACAATTGTGTGTTGACTTGCACCTCATTTTCAAATGAACAAAGTCAAACTCAAAAGCTAGGAAGTAACAGAAACAAGCTCAGTTACTCAAGCACACATGAGTTACAACTGAGCAAGACTAAGAAACAGGTATGTTTCAGATGAAAGAATGCTAACTATGACTTACAGACTTATCTGCACAGCTTCACAGGCTTACCTAACAGAACACAGGACCCTAAAAGTGCTCTGTAACATATTTACACATTTCCAGTTGCTGGCTCTTCTGCACTACATCTACAGCATTTTGCACCAGGGGAGATCATGCCTACCTGTGTGCACTCAAAGACAACAACTGTCTTCAAAATTACTACATCACTACCATGACATATACCAGACATACACCTGTCTCTGGCAAGCCTTTCTCTAGGCTCTTTCTCCTGCTCTTTCTGTTGCTGATATATGAAGGGTTTTGCAAAACTTATGACAGGGCAAGTGATACTGTCTTAGTTTCTAGTTACATAGCAGAAACAGGCTGTAAGAGGAAAACATTCTATGGCTGTCAAGATCTGGAAGGACTGTCTTAAATAAAATAGGTTACAGAAATTCACTCATCTATCAAACTTATAATTGAATCAATGCCTGTAGAGCTACTTCAGTAGTCTTTCCCTTGATAGGCTGCCAGCACAGACAACAGGTCTATAATAGAGGCTCCTTTGCTGTCAGCCAGAGGAATATACTGGGTCCTAAGTTATTTTAACATGCTGGGTAGTATAATACACACACACATATATATCCCTTTTATACATAAATAAATTT